TAACATGGACAAAGGATTGGCTAACAAATAGAAGAGACAGAATTGGGATGAGGGGTTCAGTTTAAGGGTGGCAGCTTGTAACTAGTAGAGTGCCACAGGAATCAATTTTAGGGCCATAATTATTTACAATAGATATTGATTACTTGGATGACACCAGTGAATGTACTGCTGCAAAGTTTGCAGATGACAAAAAAAAAGACGAGGCATAGGATCAGGTGCAGGTCATCGGCTCAGAGTCTGTTCCGCCCCTCAAGGAGATCATGGCTCATCTGATAATCAACTCCACTTTCCCACCTTCTCCCTGCCACCTCTCCCTCTATCCTCTTGCTGATTAAAAATCCAATGCCAATTTTAGTTTTATATATACAAGCAAAAAAAAACAAATGCAGTATTTTTTAAAAATTGAGTCACATTTTTGAATAATAGACATTGAAGCTCATTTTCTTGACTATTAGTCAGACGCCTGGATTACTAATTAAATAACATGGTTGTATTTTAAATCAGCTTGTGTGTCTGCTGCTGCTTTCAATACAATTAAGACATTATACAATTCACAAAATATACAAACAAATCACTTCGGAGAATTGATGGTTGATGGAAAAATTCCATCACTAATATCAATTTAACATTACCAACAGGATTAAACATTTCTATGAACAAATGGTTTCAAATACAGATTGCTGTCACAATCAGCCCACTTAACTCCCTCTGCTATAGTGAAACATTTTTTCCTGGAAATTTATGCATCTGGATGCATCGTTCTAGATTAAGAAATCAAATCAAGTATCACCATTTCCTACGAGTTCGTTAGCATTTACCTTGTGGTGTTTCAGAGCTGGGAATGTAGGAAGATGATGGCACCATACTTGGTGTAGCTGGCAAATAACTAGTAGATGGTAGTGCATTATCATTATTCAAAGCACCAAGTTTCTGAAAAGACAAAGGAATATCAGAGAATGACAATACTGATCGTTAAGGAATAGAAGCTTTTATGAGTTCTCGGTTGATTAAGAATATTACTATACATTAACAGTTTTCAAGGTCCTAGCCACTGAAATTCAACAGCAACACAGATCAAGGATCTTTCCAATTTTTCAACTTCCTCATCATTTTAATTCAGCAACTGACTAGATTCTTTACAAATTATTATAATCTTTATAATTTATAAAGATTATTATAATTTATAAAGATTATAAATCAATATGCTAACAGGTGCTATAATTTCTCACAAGAAGCATGCTAGGCAAAATATTACAGCCCTGCTTGTCTCCCTGAAAAATATCAGGCCTTCTTTAAATACCTTTAGAAATAATTTTAACTGGCAACAGAAGTCTGAAAAATAGTGTTTTCTAAATTAACGGTACAATGAAGATTTTCTTATAGCTGACATATGTTTAGTAGTTCAATACAACATGAAGTAACTACAAACTCATATTTTCAAATCAAATGATTTAATTGCTTTTTTAAAAATAATTCACTCACTGTATCTACTTTACATCAATTAACTTAGCATGCTTTAAAAACGTAACATGTTGAACAATATTTGAACCACACAGACATATTTACCTGTGTAGAGACCAGTCCAACAGCATAATCTGGTGTGACACTATCAACAACTGTTTCTTCTTTGGCTGGTTTCTCCGTGACTTCTGCATCTATATTTAAAAATAAATATTTGGTCAGAATTTTGAATCAAGTTTATTTTTTAAAAAAATTAAAACAATTTTTAAAAAAAGTTTCTGAAGATTCAAGTAAATGTTGGCAGTTCTGAAATGGTATACATTTTAACACTGAATTACCCACAAGTGAGAAACAAAATTACTCAAGCAACAGCAGAATCTCATTTACTGATGCAGTGTTTGATAAACAAGCAGGTGATTCTCCAGCCCAAGTGATACATTTTCCTATTATATGGAACAAGGGTTTTTAAAGCAGGATGGGAGGAGGAATAAAGAGTTTAAGTTTTTATTCATTGTGCTGAATATCTGAGATAACGAATGGAAATCACTTTATAAGAATGCAAGTTCACACTACCTATTTATCACATTACACTTTTTTGTTTTGTGAACAACACAGAGTTAAAATATCTTTCAGTCCTGCTCAATAGGCATACTTCATGAAGCAAGCTCAGTTCAAGAATCCATGCCCTTTAAGGGTCTGGCAGCATATTAGTTGGTCATTGTTCACAATGTAAAGTGATTGAAAAGCTAAGTGGACCATATATTATGCTAACTGAATTGTCAAGATTGACTGAAACGAAGCGTATTTCTTAGGTTGTATATCTGATGACTAATTGTGTACTGTAATGTACTGTAGTGTGGCATTAATGTACATGACTGTAGAGTCAAAACACAGAACTGTATTAGTGAACAAATCACTGTTGTAGTCTCACTGAAATGGTGAACCATGGTTCTAGACTTCTGAATCTTGAACTCACTAATAAAGAATTGTATCACATCGAATCATTTTGCATAATTTGTCTTTTGTTAACAGGAGCTTACTGAATTTTAAAATCTGATTTTGTAGTTGTTACAATCGATGTTTAAGGTAATAAAGCAGAACAGAGCAAAGTGCAGTCCATCTTTCATTTTGGCACTGAGAATAACCAGCAGTCAATTTGACATCACATATTCATCATGCAAAGTAGAGCCTCCCTTACTGTGTTATAGTTATCATTAAGGGAAATACAATTTCAAAAAGTTACTCGCCTGGAAGTTTCATTTTCAATGCCAGATTTTCCTAGCATGAGACTTCACAGTTCAAATGTAAATTTGTCAAAAAGAATAAACCCATGCAACTAAAAGAACATGGTTGAGATGCCCAAATTAATTTCAGACAGGAACTCAGCAAAGAGCAGAGAAGTTTGAATTGGATTCTAACCCAAACTACTTACTCATGACAGATTTTACAGATTTTAAATATGCCATATTTTTACCCAGTGAGACACTATTCCAATGGCCAGAAAGACTTCGGAGTAGCATAGGCTGGAATTGCATGTCAAGATTATGAAGAATTCCAGATTGCAGCTGTCTATATGGGACGTGCCCAAGTAATTAAACTTTTCCAATGGGCATTTTTCCTGTACCCAGGAATATCCAAAAGAATACATAAAAAGGTGGATATTTCAGAGGGTTCCATCTCATTTAAGGTTAATAGTTACCCAGGAAAAGTTAGAAGAAGATTAAAAAGCTCATCTAGTTCCTGGCTAACTGGACTCCCACCTGGGCCTTATTTACATAGTAAAAACCAAAAGAACTGCAGATGCTGTAAATCAGGAACAAAAACAGAAGATGCTGGAAAAACTCAGCAAGTCTGGCAGCATCTGTGAAGAAAAAAGTCAGAGTTAATGTTTCGGGTCTCGGTGATCTTTCTTCAGAACTGTGTCATTCGATGCCTCAAACTGTGTAGCATGAGAAATTTGGAGCGTGCCTTGAATGCTGATGCTAGGAACATCATGTTCAAAGTTTGTCAAGAGAAACTGCAAGACCGTTCCATCAGTCTGCAAAGATTCAGGTCAATTTACTATTGCTTTCAGATGCAGATTAAAAAACATAATTGCATGTTTTGACAAAGGGATCCCAGATTATTTTCATAAAAAAAAGAACGTCCCGATATTGAGTACAGCATTAAGAAAATGAAGCAAGACTACCAGCATTTCAAAGCGTTTTAGCCAGAATTTAAGTGTATTGTACAACTGATTACAAGTCAAGTTACAAAGTCATGTAGAATAATTACATGCCTGTGTAACAGTTCCTCTTCCTCTGTGGATCTGAATTATAGGACTATAACTGAATAAAAGATACCAATTTTGTAAAATGGAGGTGGGTGGAGGTGAAGGGTGGAGAAGAGAGCCACAATCAGGGTAGAAGCAATGAAGATGATTGGGGAAAGTTTGAAAGGCTGGTAGTAGAGGCATATTTTGAGGAAGCATATGAAAGGCCAGAGACATTGCAAGAGAAAAGGGGCTGGAAACAGGCTTAGCAAGGAAGTTCCAGATACCGAAGGCTCTGTCACTGGTATGGCAGGAGGTGACAGCAGAAATAGAGGGCAAGAGGTAAAGTCAGAGTAGCAGAGGATGAAAATTAATATGTAGATCTAAAAACAAAATTCCAGAGGTGGGGGATACAAGGTCATAGAATGATTTGCAATCCTTAGCGAAAGCATGAAATTTATCCATTAGTGAGCAAGAAGCCTACGAAGGCCTGTAGATAGTGAGCAGCAATTACAACAGAAGAGATACGATGGACCACAAATGTGGTTTGAAACAAAGCTATCCATTTTGCCATTTTGACCCCATTTTGAGGGTTGAAAATTGTCATGACCCCGTGCGTCGGAACAGAGAGGGGGGGGTTGCCTGAGAAAGTGAGGAACTGTCTGCTACACGGGAAATGGAGTTGTTATAATTCTCAGCAGCTATTGCTGCCTTGGAACTCACAACCCCACATGAGGTTGCGAACCCACCCACTTTGGGAAGGCTTGGATATGGGTCCAATATATGTCAACCGTATAAAACAATGGTGAGGCCAGAGATAGAATACTGTGAGCAATTCTGGTTGCCACACTCAAAAAGGATGTAAGTGCACTGGAGACTGTGCAGAGAAGATTCACCAGGATGTTGCCTAGGATGAAAATGCTCAGCAACGAGGAGACTGGATGGGCTGGGTTTTCTTCTTTGTACTACAGGCAGCTGAGATGAGATCTGATTGAGGTATACAAAATTATGAGAGGCATAGACAGGGTAGATCATGAGAATCATTTCCCCACAGCAGACATGCCCAAGACCAGAGGGCATAAGTTTAAGTCCAGGAGTAAGTAGTTGAGAGGCAGAGGAAACATTTCTTCACCCAGAAAATGGAACGTGCTGCCCAAAGAGGATGATACAGGCAGCGGTTAAGAAGCATCTTAAAATGCCAGCGCACAGTAAGATATGGACCAAGTGCAGCTAAATGGGATTATTGCAGTTGCTGTTTGATGGGTTGGAATGGGCATGGTGGGCCAAAAGGGCTTGTTTCTATGCTGTAATATTCTATGACATTATCCTTTTTCTTTTGTTAAAGATGTTTAACTGGAAGTACTATTGACCATTTTGCATGAAATAATTAAACATTTTTCTTATTTTTAAAACAATTCTTATGGTGCTCATCTGGACTACAACAATAGAATGGTCATCATTCATTCACTACGATTTGCATTCCCTGATTGACATGTTAATAGGCACTCAATGTCATACCAAATACATTTGTATGCATGAGGAAGGACAGAGCAATGTCAGTTGAGATTGGAAGGCAAACTTGCTTCACACTCAAATCTCTTTCATACCTCAAATAACATGAGACTTTGCAACAAAGTCAGATTTTACAAACCTAATGTCTTCCTTCTCCTTTTTGCTTCCCGACCAGCACCTACCATATCCAGCTCTGATATATCCAGCAACTAGAACAAAACAAAAGGACAACATTAATACTGTAGCTATTTTTGGTAATATGACCTCAATATTTCATCCAAAATCAGGCATCAAAATGTCAACATTTCTGACTGATGATATTTTCCAAGTTCAGAAATCACTGTTTACATTGTTCAAATGATAGAACCAACAGATTTGAGAGAAGTAATGAAATCATTGAGTAACAAATAAAAGTACTGCATGGATCAGTGCTGAGTCCTCAACTATTTATAACCTATATCAATGATCAAAAGGTATTAAGGGATATGAGCCAAAGACAGAAGAATGGAGTTAGACCACAGATCAGCCATGATGCTGGTGAATAGCAGAACAGACTTCAGGAGCTGAATGGCCTACTCCTGTTCCTATGATTTGGATTTGGGAACTGAATGCAAGATAGGCTAACTTTGCTGATGAAAGTGAGATACGTAACAAATTAAGTTGTCAAGAGGAGGTAGAGAATCTGCAAAGGAATAGAGAAGTTAAGTGAGTATGCAAAAATTTGGCAAATGGAAGACCTCCTCTATCTATCCCAATAAATGCATCTCTGTAATTCAGCACACTGACAGAAATGAATGACCATTCCTCAAATATACAGACAGACTGAAGCACTTTAGGTTGGTGTTGACATTTAGGGCTTTAAATGAAGTCCAGACTTTGCAGTAAGGAGGCCAAGATAAAATTAAGGTTGCCCCCACCCAGGTTGTAATTACAAAATAAATTATTTGTCATCTTAGAAAACTTGGTAGCTCTTTGTTTGGAGGTGGGCAGGGGGCAGGGAGGGGGTGGGAGAGAAATGGGTGGTAGCACATGTAATGGGACCTGATTGATCTCAAAATAATTTGTTAAGCACTGTTCTTCTCAATTAAGATAAAGTCCCTAAACATGTCAATCCAATTCCACAGCCTCAAAATTATGGGGACCAGAATTAGGATACAATTGAGGAGGAACTTCTTCACCCAAAGGGTTATGAATCTGTGGAATTCCCTGCCCAGTGAAGTAGTTGAGGCTTCCTCATGGAATGTTTTTAAAGCTAAGATAGATAATTGTTGAATAGTAAAGGAATTAAGAGTTATGATGAGAGGATGGATAAGTGGAACAGAGGCCACAAAAAGATCAGATATGATCTTGCTGAATGGCGGAGCAGGCTTGAAAGGCCAGATTCCTGCTTCTGGTTCTTATGTTCCACAGCATTGAGTAACAAATTTGTTACTCAACAAAAAGAACATTCACTGAACACGTTCTCTTAAAGATGCTGATTCGTCAAGTAGAAATAAAATGAGATTATTTCTGCAAGTGCGGCAACATCAGCTGCTCAAAAATAATTCCACAAGGTTAAACTAAAATTCCATGCAATGTTCACACAATGACCAACTAATGACGAATAAAGTTGTGTTCAAGACCATAGCTACAAAATCCCAAAATACCCTAACTCATTAACAGAGTATCCAAACTGTTAAAAATGCAAACTCTGCAACCGACTGAACTCACCTTTACACCTCTCTCCTTGCGCATAGGCGTCCGAACAGCCATTGGCGTTCTGTTTGTTGATGGGCTGAACACACTGGGAGTAGTGGGGCTCCGGAAAGGAGCTTGCTTCGGAATCCCTTTGAGGGGAGCTGTGTAGTTAAATCGTTGTTATAAATACATGAAGATCACAAGTTCATTTTTAAAGGAAAAAAAGAGCAGCCTTTTTAGCTTAACTATTACGTGCAAAACAAGCATATTTTCCAAAGATAAAATGTTCAAAAAATTACTTTACTTAAGACAATTAGCATCAAACTTTCTCATTTTCCACCTGCTATTAGAAGTTCATAGAACTGAATCCCTACAGTGCGGAAACAGGCCCTTCAGCCCAACAAGTCCACACTGACCCTCAGAGCATCCCACCCAGACCCATCCTCCTAATCTACACATCCCTGAACACTATGGGAAATTGAGCATGGTCAATCCACATAGCCTGCACATCTTTGGACTGTGGGAGGAAACCCACGCAGACACGGGGAGAACGTGCAAACTCCACACAGACAGTCGCCCGAGGTCGGAATCAAACCCGGGTCCCTGGTGCTGTGAGGCAGCAGTGCTAACCACTGAGCCACCGTGCCACCCTCATTCTGTGAAGATACATTACTACATTGAACATTAATTGAACTATACCCCAATAACTATTAGTACATACTGGTGGTATCGAGCTTCTTAACCAAACCTCTCCCTTTGGCTAAAGGCACTCCTGAGGTCTTTTTGAGCTGCTGTGCAGTTTCTGTTGCTGAAAAACAATAAAATATATATATTGGAAATTATTTCCTAAAGAAGGTTAAACAGCAGAGATAGAGACAGACATTTTAGCTAAGGATGGGAGAATTGAAAAATTCCTGAAAAGTTAATTTAAGCTCAAATATAAATCTAAGGCTCATTATCTCTTGAATAACTTCATGCACCAAACAGAAACAACACTCTACTAAATCTATAACTTTTGACAGAGGCAAATACACAAATAACAGTAAATACAAAGAACTACTCTGCCCTTCAACCTAAATATTGCATTATATGTTGTAAGTTATTGGAGCAGCATTTTTCCGTCTGCCTTTTTAAAACAACAATTTTTTTTTCCCAATTTTTCATTTTCATTCCTTCCCTTCCTGATGATGCCAACTATTACTTGGGTACAGTACCCTAAGCACAGTCAACTCTGCAGTACCACATTCAAGCAACCATCTCCTTTCTGTTTACTTGTACTTGTGAGGCAAGTGAAGGGAGGCAATGGACTAATGGTCTTATCACTGGACTATTAATCCACAGACCCAAGTAATATTCTGGGACCCAGGTTCAAATCCTGCCACGGCAGATGGTGAAATTTGAATTCAACAAAAATAATCTGACATTAAGAGTCTAATCACCATGAATGCATTGTTGATTATTGGAAAAGCTTATCTGGTTCACTAATGCCCTTTAGGGAAGGAAACTGCAATCTGCAATCCTTACCTTGTCTGGCCTTTACGTGACTCTAGACCCACAGCAATGTGGATGACTCTTAACTGCACAACTGGGTTGGGCAAGAAATGCTGGCCTTGCCAGCAATGCCCTCATCCCATGAATGAATGAAAGAAAGAAAGCTATGTTGGCTAATCATTACAATACAGCTCATTATATCAAGTCCATTTATTGTTTACGCCTAATTGCTCTGAATACATGAATAGGTTCACCAGTTTGGAGGTGGAACTGTATGGATTGCAGCAGGTCCCCTCTTCTGGAGAACATTAAATGAATCATTTGTGAATTACTTTCTAAAAAAAGTTAACTGCTTTTCATGGTCATTATGTTACATATTATCCTACAAAAAATCAGATTTAGAGGAATCAGTTTCACAGCTTGGCAAATTAGATTTTAAATACCAAATGTAGGAACACATCTTAGAAGCAGGAGTAGGTCATTTGTGTCTGCTCTACCACTTACTAAGATCATGACTGATCTGGTTGTAGTCTCAGCCCCATTTTCCTGTCTGTACTTCATAACCTTAGACTTTCATGCCCATTAAAAGTTCAACTCAGCTTGATTAAATTTAAAGATCCAGCCTTCACTATCTTCTGGGGAAAGAAAACTCCAAACTCTACCCTTCAGAGAAATTAGCCTTCCTCATCCCCATCTCAAAAAATTAAATCTCTTGTTTTTAAACTACACCCCTAGCTGTAGCCATTGTCATAAGAGGAACCAACCTCCTAATAACTATCCTATCCATTCATCTCAAAATCTTAAATGTCTCAATCCACTCAACTCATTTTTCTTAACTCCAATGTATACAAGCCTGACCTGTTTAACCTTTCTTTGTAAGATAAGCCCTTCATCTCAGGAATGTGCCAACTAAACCTTCTCTAAGCTGCTTCTACCATTATTTGTCTAAGAAGGAGACCAAACTGTACACAGTACACCAGATGTACTCTCACCAATGCAGTGTACAGTGCAGTAAAACCTCTCGAGTCTTAGATTCCGTTCCCCTGCAATTAACAATGTTCAATCTACCTTCCAAATCACTTGCGATATCTGCATACTAATTTTGAGAGATTCATGAACCAGGATATCTAAATCCATCTGTTCTGCACTCTGTCTCCATTTAAATAGGATACGGATTTTCTATTCTTCCTGCCAAAATGACAAGCTCACGTTTACAAATTATACTGGGTCAAAATTCTGGGACTCCCTTCCTAACAGCATTGTGGGTCTACCTGCAGCAAATGGATTGCATCAGTTCAAGGCAGCAGCTCAGTAGTTTCTCAAGGGTAATTAGGGATGGGCAACAAATGCTGTGCCAGCCAGCGATGCCCACATTCTATGAATGAATTTTTAAAAACTCTGCCACATTTTTGACCTGTTACTTAACTTGCATCCCTTTGCAGATTCTCTCTCTCCTTTTTGATCTATCTTGCTCTCATTTGCAAAGTCAATTACCGTGCATCAGTCCCCTCATCCAAATTATTGACGTAGATTGTAAATATTTGAGGGCCCAGCACTAAACCCTGTGGCACTTCACTAGTTACAGGTCGCTAACCTGTAAAAGACTCGTTTATCTTTGCATTCTGCTTACCATTGGCTAACAAATCCTTTATTTATGTGAATATGTTACTCCTGAACAATATATTCATTTCTGGTGTATTAACATTTGATGAAATCCATTATCAACTGCCTTTGAACTCTTAAGCACAAATAGATGAAACATCTGCCAATTTCTCTCTATCTGGAGTGAATGTTACTTTGTCAAAAATACTCTAACAGATGCCCCTTTCACAAAACCATGTTCACTGTGCCTGATTAGAGTAATTCATGACGCAAGTATCCTACAAGAACCTCCTTAATAATGGATTCTAGAATCTTGTGATAGATGTTAGGCTAAGTGCACTATAGTTTCCAGCTTTGTCCAATGAACACCCTGGGTACTGAATTTGCTAGATTATTCAAAAATGGCAGGCATTACACCAAGCGGGGATTCTCCCATCCAACATCATCACAAACCCATTTTCATCAGAGATCACAGCACAGCAATCAGCAACAAGTACCCACACTGATTTTACTCCATCTCCAGCTCAGGAGCAAAAACAAACCTAGAGTCTTCTGGTTTTTTTGCCCAAATAAAATTAAAGCATAAGACCATTAGAGAAGTATAGTTGCCCTGTTTAACCAAAAAGACTCTTACAATCTAGGTCCTCTATGTGTTAGATTAGTTCTATTCCTTGAGTCACTTACACTTTTGCAACAGTTCTGCTCGAAGTGTGGCACTTTTGGGTTTTCGTTTAAGCTGAAAATGCTTCACTGGGGGTGTGAGTGGTCCCACAAGAGTCGTCAGGGCATTTTTATTCAAATACTGGCACTCCAAAGGCAACATCGCAGAGGCTTCACATTCATTAACTGTTTAGAGAGAAAACATATTAAAAGGAGACAAGACCCAGTGATAGTTAAAAACCTTTTTTGGATTAGAATCATACACCACAGAAAATCACGAGACCACAAGATACAGGAGCAGAATTAGGCTTTCAGACCACTGAATCTGCTTGACCATTCGATCATGGCTGCAATGTTTCTAAACCCCATTCTCCTGCCTTCTTCCCATAATCCTTACTAATCAAGAACCTATTTACGTCTTAAATGCACTTAATGACTTGGCCTCCACAGCCCTTTGCTGCGATGAGTTCCACATATTCACCAACCTCTGGCTAAAGAAATTCCTCCTCATCTCAGTTCTAAAAGGGTGCCCTTCACTGAGAGGGTGTGCCCCGAGGTCTTAAGTCTCTCCTACTAATGGAAACATAATTCTCCACATTCAGTCTATCCAGGCCCCTCATATCCTGTAAGTTTCAATCAGATCCCCTTTCATTCTTCTAAACTCCAGCGTGTACAGACTCAGATCCTCAACCAATCCTCATATGGCAAGCCCTTCATCCCTGGGATCATTCTTGTAAACCTCCCTCACACACCAGCACATCTTTCCTTAGATGTGGGGCCCAAACCTGCTCACAATATTTCAAATGCAGTCTGACTAGAACCTTATACTGCCTCAGCTGTACATCTCTGCTCTCATATTCTAGCCTTCTTGAAACAAATGCCTACATTTCATTTGCCTTCCTAACCACCAAATGAAACTTAAGAGAATCCTGAATTAGGATTCTCAAGTCCCTTTGCGCCTCAGGTTTCTGAAGTCCTTCCCTATCTAGAAAATAGTTTACACCTCTATTCTTCCTAACAAAATGTATAGCCTCACATTTTGCCACGTTACATAATGAAGTGGCAGATGGAAAACATTCTCCTAGCCCATACAAGTTCTTCTGCAGCCTCCGTGCTTCCTCAATGGTACCTATCCCTCCACTTATCTTTGCGTCATCTGCAAACTTAGCAACAATGCCCTCAGTTCCTTCGTCCAGATCATTAATGTATAAATTAAATAATTGTGGTCCCAATACTGTCGTTTATGGAACTCCACTAGTCACCAGCTGCCATCCTGAAAAAGACCCCTTTATCTGCCTTGTACCAAATAGCCACTCCTCTATTTGTGCTAGTACCATGCCCCGAACGTCATATGCTCTTATCTCATTTAGCAGCCTCCTGTGCGGCACTGTCAAAGGCCTTCTGGAAATCCACGTAGATCACATCCACTGGCTCTTGTTTGTCTAACCTCCTCATTACAGAACCGAACCATTCTGCCCTTGCTGGCTCTTCTAAAAGCACAGGCACACTTAGCCCCACATCTCCATTTCTTGTCTGAAACCCTGCAAGTTCTTCATCCTCAAATAAGTTTTCAACTCCCTTTTAAAATAATTTAGAGAGTTGGTTTCCACCATTTTTTCAATTCGATCATTCGGCTTCTGTCAACTATTTGTGGAAATTTTCCCCCATCTCATCTGGATATTTTGCCAATAATTTTGAATCTACAACTTCTGGATAGTAACCCACTAAATTGACACTTAGAATGAGTGGGGCTTCTTGCGAGGAAAGATTGGCCATGCTTGGCTCATTGCCACTGGAATTTAGAACAGCGAGGGGTGACTTGGTTTTTATGGCTGAATCAAAAGGCAAAGATAAACAAACCGCAGTTTAAAAAAAAGTTAACAGATTCATTAAATGAAAATAAGTAGTTTATAAAAGGAAACTGGGAAAAAAATAGCAAGTTCAAAGATTTGGAAACAATTTAGAACCCAAAGAAAGACCAAGAAATAGATCAAGGAAATGAAGAGAGAATGAATGCAAATTAGTGAGGACCTTAAAGCTGAACTGTAAAACTACTTCAGATTTATGAAAAAGAATAGATTAGCAAGGCCTACCAAAGGTGGGAAAAGGAGAATTTACAGTGGAAAACAGGAAAATGGCAGAGAAACTAAACAGTTCATTGTGTCTGTCTTCATGGAAGAAGACAGAATATCTCCCAGAAATACTAGGCAACCAAGGGACTTGTAAAACTGTGGAACTAATAGAAATGAGCATTCGTGAAGAACTGTCGTAGTATTTGAAAAGTTAACTGGATTCAATGTTGATAAATCCCCTGGGCCAAATGAGCTACATCGCTCAATGCTGAAGGAGGCAGCTATGGAGATATTGGATGCATTGGCGGTTTCCTTTTATAAAGACCAATTTGTTTTAAAACAATGGACTAAAAAAATGGGAAGAAATACTACTTCAAACAAAGGAAACTGTGAAAGAGGATGCTGCAGTTTTAAAGACAAATTACTGGAACTCATTGAGTTGTATCTACAACACTGTCTTATTTAAGCGTGGGAGAGGGTATTAGGTACATCAGCATTGCGTGTGACCATGCGTGTGTATTTGTAGGTGTTCAGAGCAAATTTGCCCAGTGACAGTCTTTTCATCGAAAGAGCAACCAGGACCAGTTGTGGGGTTTCGGGTGTGCTCATCATAGTAACAGTTTTGCAATTGATTCCTGGACTGTGTTTGGACAATACAGGAGAAACTTCTAGCCTGAAAAGGGAATGCACTCAAGTGTCTCTCTCCATCCTGTGTGTGGAAGCAGTGGAAAATTTCCTGGTAGCTGTATTATTCTTCAGCCTTGTCAGTGTGTCTGCTAATATATGCAGGAAAAACTTTAAAAAGGGGTAGATCTTGAGGTTTTTTTTTAAAACCCTTATTTATGGTATATGGGTGTCACTGGCTAGACCAACATTTATTGCCCATCCCTAGTTATCCAGAGGGCAGTTAGAGTCAATGACATTGCTGAGAGTCTGCAGTTGCACGTGGGCCAGACCAGGTAAGAATGGCAGATTTTCTTCCCCTAAGGTCTATAATAAACCAGATAGATTTTTACAACAATCAACATTTGTCACCATTACACTAGCATTTTATTCCAGGATTTTATTTAATTCAAACTTCACTATATGCCATGGTTCAGTCTGAACCCATGCCCCAGAACATTAGCTTTATAAGTTAACAATTCACATTTTTTTCTTACGATTGACTGAAAAGAGATTGATGACCATAAACAGTTATTTTCTTGTTAATGATAAAACCTGGTGTTCATATTCATTTAATATGAATTAGACAGTTGGGTAAAAGCAGGCAATTTGTTGGTTTAAATCAGTTTGTCACAACTGTGACGACTCCAGGAACCATGGAGCTTGATTTCCATCACATTATGCCAAGATCAGCCAGTAGGTTCTAGAAAGGAGCAAACATAACCCTGCTATTTAAGGAGAGAGGATGACTTTCTGTAAACAGCAGATAGACCACAGCACATGTTAAACTACTGACCTCATTTTCTGAGAAATGAAGGGTAAAAACCCTTTCAATCCAGAAGGTGTCCAAATAGTTCCATATGCTCCACTTTTCCCATGTAGTCCTCAATATAAATATGTATCCCCTACAGAATAACTATGGAGTTATTCATTGTAATAGAAAAAAAATCAAAGGCAGAATACTTCTTCAACAGTGAGAGGTTGAGAAGTATGGGCATCCAAAGGGACCGACGCGTCTTTATTCACTAAAGGTTAGCATGCAGGTGCAGCAAGCCTTTAGGAAGGGAAATGGTACACTGGCCTTCATCACAATGGGGTTGGATTACAAGAGTAAAGATGTCTTGCTGCTGTTGTGTGACATCTTGGTTAGACCTCGAGGCTTCACCTGGATTTTGTGCCCAGTATCGATCCCCTGATCAACAGAGGAATGTACTCACCATACAGGGAATACAACAGAAGTTCACCACATTAATCCTGAGACAGTGAAATTTTCTTTTGAGAAGACTGGGTTTGTATTCTCCAGAGTTTCTTAGAATGAAGTTTACATCGAAACAACAAAATTCTTACAGGCCGTGATGTGGTGGATGCAGAGTAGCTGTATCCCCTGCCTGGTGAGTCCAAAATTAGGGGCATAATCTTAAATGGCCCTTATCCTGTGACTGAGACAAGGAGGAATTTCATCACTCAGAGGGTGGAGTGTCTTTGGAATGCTCTGCCCCAGAGGGCTGTGGAAACACACAGAGCATGTTCAAGGCAGAAACTGATAGATTTCTGGAGACTAACGTCATATCCCTTTATGTCATTAGTGTGGAAAAGGCATGGAGATCAATGATCAGCCATGATCTAATTGAAAGGTGGAGCAGGCTGGATGGGCTGACTGAAAGGGTTAAAAATGCAGATTCAGTTAGAAGTGTTCTACCAAAAGTAACTGCAAATAGAACATAGATTAGCAGATGCACCCAAGAACAGAATGGCAAAGAGCCAGAAACAAAAACAGAAGTTGCTGGCAAAACTCAGGTCTGGCAACGACTGCGAAGAGAAAGCAAAGTTAATATTTCAAACCCAGTGACCCTTCTTCAGAACATGTCTGCTCTGAAGAAGGGTCATTGGACTTAAAATGTTAACTCTCTTTTCTCTCCAAGGTGTTGCTAGAAATGCTGAGATTCTCCAGAAGTTTCTGTTTTTGTTTCAGATCTTCATTATCCACAGTTTATTGTGCAGCACGGTGGCTCAGTGGTTAGCACTGCTGCCTCACAGCAACAGGGACCTGGGTTCGATTCCATCCTCGGGTGACTGTCTCTGTGTGGATTTCCTCCGGGTGCTCCCGTTTCCTCCCACAGTCCAAAGATGTGAAGGCTAGGTGGATTGGCCATGCTAAATTGCCCATAGCATTCAGGGATGTGTAGATTAGGTGGGTTATAGGGGGATGGGTCTGGGTAAGATGCTCTGAGGGCCTGTCTCCACACTGTTGGGATACTATGATGATCTAGAAAAGTTCTTAGTTTTATTTTAGTGGCGAAGAGCCAAGTTTGGGGGTGAGTGACAAACAAGTTTGCAGCCTCGACTGCAAAACCAGCAGGATAAAGGAGGGGCTTTGGATTGATATGAACAATGCCTGATGCACATATTGTGGGGAATAAGTGACATCTAGTTAGCATTCCATTGTATGCTAATAACACCAGTCATACCAAATGGTGGAGCGGACTCAAGGGACGGTGTTGCTTATCCTTCTCCTAGTTCTTATTTATGTATGCTGATCCAATCAGAAACTGAATACGTGACTTAACATATAAAAAAATGAGACGAGACCTTGTGGATTTTTGCCAAAGTTCAGTCTTAGAATGTTTAAGATCAACTTTCCTTGTGTACACAAATAAATGATCATTTCCTGAACCTGAGTCTCCTGATGAATTGTTAACTTGAACCACAACAGGTCTACTCTTGCTCAGGTCAAGCTGGCTGTCATTAGTGCAAGTCCTGTTTGGCAGCTGCAAATAATGCAACACATCAGGTACCAGTATTCCAAAATTTAACAGAAGTGTCCAAAAATTATATATGGTTTTGATAGAGTGGACAGGAAGAATTGTGCCACCGGCAGGTGGGCCAGAAACCAGGGAACCAAGATAATTGGGAAAAATTCATAACCGGTAGGCGTAGGAAACACATTATTTTATTTAAATATGCAGCAGCTTATAGCAATTTGGAAAGTAGCCTGAAAGGAGTGCAATCAGAATAAAAAGTAGAGATTCTGATGTACCAGTACTGTATTGTGGTACCACAGCATGCTATGTTACTTAAAGAAAGCCCATTAACTAAAATCTAAATATTAGAACTATTTACTGAATTCAGACACCCTACATTTTAGCAACAATGGTTTGTTTTCATGTAAAGTAAATGTAAACAACAGTGTTTAAATTGTCAAATTTGAGAATCTAGTGGAATTGAACCACGAAGTACCTTTTTCTCGGAGTTCCCCAAGAATTTCTTGCAGATTCTGATTGTGTTCCTCAAGTTCAAGATTGAGGGAGCCGGTTTCAGGGAAGGTTTTTAGAATATCTGCCACCATCTGAACCCAAGAGTCAGTATCCATTGCAGCAAGATGAACAATTTCAGTCAAGGAACTTTTCATCTGCAAGACAAGTAGAGAGATGTCAGAGTGATAGAGCTCTACCACACAGAAAAATGCCTTATGACCCAGTGAGTCTGCTGGTTAAAAACAAGCACCTAATTATTCTAATCCCATTTTCTGGCACTTGACCTATAACCTTCTATGCCTTGGCATTGCAAACATACATGTGGTAATGAGTCAAACTTGGAAACGGGAATTCCACTGTAAAATGTTCTCAACGTCAACATAATAGTGAAACATTAACCAAATTATGGAAAGATCATAATTCAACTTGCTCTTTGTAAAATTGTTGTCTCAACAAAAAGAATGAGGCAAAGGTGATGAGAAGAAAGTTATACAGCAACACTGACAGAGAAATATGCAGTGGCTATATGCTTGCTTTCAGCTGTTCCAAAGAAACTCAAGCACGTGGCAAAAGACAGAAAGCATGACTTTCAAATCAAAAACTAAATTCCTTCTGCAATGACTTACATTCTCACAAATCTAGGAAACACGTGAGATCATACTATGATTACATGGTTCCCCCACTCCATGTAGCCAGAAGAACACGTTTAGGTTTGATGGGTGAGGAAGAAGAGGATGAAACAGCGAACACTGCTGAAAGGATGGACTCATCTTCTGTGACAAAATAGTCTATGAATTCCTTGTGCTTGTTGAACAAAAGGGTGGAGGGGAAGGTGAGTAGGTGGTTAAGGAAACCACTGTTACCGGAAAAATATCGTTAGCAATTATCTTTGTTACAGCACAACAATGCAGAAACAGAGGGCAGTTTGCGTAGAGCAGAATGAATCCTGACAGTAACTGATGTTGACAAGGAATTCTGGTCAAGTCTGGGCAAACCAGCAGTGTGTCAGATGTGATCACCTTTATCCTCTGGACTTGAGGGAGCTACGGGAAAAATAATTAAGATTTTACTTGAAAGGACAAAGACTGCTGCAGTGACCTCTGCTGGTCATTTTATACACTTACATGAGCCACATAAATCATGTGAAATGGATAGGAAGATTACATTGAGCAACTTATTATATAGTACATCATGCTTATGCTATTTTTAGTCCAATTTGTGCATTAGATTGACAACTCATTTTTGCCTGATGCTGCTACTAGCGTGATCTCTTGCACTCTTCATTCAGCCAGTATGGATTCCCTGGTTTGATGGTAATCGTACCGCGGGGGTGTGCCAGGCCATGAGGTTGCAGATTGTATTGGAGTATGGTTCTGCTAGTGTTCTTGGCCAACAGCACTTCATGGACACCAGTTGAGTGCTAGATCAGTTTGAAATCTATCCCATTTATATCAGTGATTGTGCCACACGACTTAGTGCAAGGTTTTTTTTTGACTTCATTCACTCATGGGACGTGGGTGTTGCTGGCTGGCCAGCATTTATTGCCCTTCCCTAGTTGCCCTTCAGAAAATGAAGGCGGAACTTCATGAGTGGTACACCATTTAGCATAGTAATAGTGCCACACAACATGGAGGGTATTCTCAATGTTAAGGCAGGACTTTGTCTCCAAAAGCACTCCGCGGTGGTCACTCTTACTGGTACCGTCATGGACAGATGCATCTACAGCTGGTAGATCAGTAAGGTTAAGGTCAAGTATGTTTTTCCCTCTTGTTGATTCCCCACCTGCTTACAGCCCAATGTAGCAGCAATGTCCTTTGGACTCGACAGCTCAATTAATATTACCGTTACCAAGTCACTCTTGGTAGTGTAAAATGAAATCCCTCACCCAGAGTACATTCTGTATCTTTGCCGCCATCAGTGCTTCCTTCAAGTGGTGTTCAACGTGGAGAAGTACTGATCTATCAGCTGAGGAAGGACAGTATGCAGTATTCTTCCAGTGGTTTCCTTGCCCATGTCTGACCTGGTATCGTGAGACTTTATGGCGTACAGGGCCTACGTTGAGGACTCCCAGGGCAACTCCTTTCTGGATGTAGGACAAATTCAGAGATGGTGACAGTCATCTCTAAAATATTGTAAGGTGTGTTTCCATGAGTATTACTACGTCAGGGTGTTGTTGGAGACAGCTCTCCCAATTATGGCACTAGACCCCAGGTGTCAGTATGCAGGATTTTGCAGGGTCAACTGGGCTGTTTACCCCTTTATTATTTGGGAAATGGTTAATGACAAGGTGGTCTGTCTAGTCTCATTTTGTTTTTGAGACTTTGTAGCAGATGTCACAACTGAATGGCTTGCTAGGCCATTTCAGTGGGCAGCTAAGATTCAGCCACTTTACTGGGGATATAGAATCACATATAGACACGCAAGGATGGCAGATTTTCTTCTCTGAAGGACATTAGTGAAACAGATGAGATTTTCCTGACAACCGACAGTGATTTCATCATCATTAGATTAATTTTAGGTATTTATTGTAATCAAACTCCAATACAGTCAATACAGTGTGGAGCTGGGGGAACACAGCAAGCCAGGCAGATCAAAGCAGCAGGAAAGGTGATGTTTCAGTTTACACTCTTCATCAGGGCTCTGGATTCCTCATGAAGGGTGTAAACCCGAAAAGTCGACTTTCTTGCTCCTCTGATGCTGCTTGACCTGCTTGTGTTCCTCCAGCTTCACACCGTATTGACATATAGAACCGGGATCAGAAACAGGCCATTCAGCCTATCAAGTCTGCTCTGCTATTTAACACAATCATGGTTGATTGAACATAGAATCCCTACAGTGTGGAAACAGGCCCTTCAGCCCAACAAGTCCACACCAACCCTCAGAGCATCCCACCCAGACCCATTCCCCCCACAACCCAAATAATCTAATCATCCCTGGACATGATGGGCAATTTAGCATGGCCAATCCACCTAGCCTGCACATCTTTGGACTGTGGGAGGAAACCAGAGCACCCGGAGGAAACTCACACAGACATAGGGAGAATGTGCAAACTCCACACAGACAGTCACCCGAGGGTGGAATTGAACCCGGTCCCTGGTGTTGTGAGGCAGCAGTGCTAACCACTGGGCCACTGTGCTGCCCTACACACTTCACTTGCATTTTACCACAGCATCCCCATAACCGTGTATGCCATTGGTAATAACAAACCTACCAACCTCCACTAAATGTACTCAGACTGAGCTTCCCTAGGCCTCTGTGGCAGAAGATTCATAAAATTCACCACCCTCAATAAAAGAATATCTTCTCATTTCTTTGCGAAGTGGTGCTCCCCTTATTTTTAAATTGCGCCCTGATTCTAGACTCTCCAATCAGGGAAACATCTCACTTGCATCTACCTTGTCTATCCCTTTAAAGTATTTTCCAAGTTTCAATGAGATCAGTCATTCTTCTAAACTTTAGACAATACAGATCCAGTTTGCCCAATCTCCTGCCTTGTAAGATAGTCCTGAGATCACAGGAATAAGTCTGCTGAATCTTAGTTGCGTTTCCTCTGTGGCAATAATATCTTTTCTGAGTTAAAGAGATCAAAATTATACGTAGTATTCCAGATGTGGTCACCTAGCTCCTATACAATTGAATCAAGACTTCACTACTTGCAGTAAAGGCTGACAATTCATTAGCCTTTCTAATAGCTTTCTGCATGTTAGACTTCAGCGACTTATTGACAAGGACACGGCTATCTTTGTACATCTAGACTTTCCCACCTCAACAATGTAAGGAATATTCTGTACATGCTTCTCCTACCAAAGTAGATAATGTCACATCTGCCTACATTATATTCCATCTTCCATGTTCTTGCCCACTCAAAGAACCTGTTCAAACCCTCCTGAAACCACTTTCCATCTTCCTCATAACACATGGCCACATAGCTTCATACCATCTGCAAATTTGGAAATATTACATCTGATACATACCATGAACAGCTGTGGCCCAAGTACGGATCCTTGTGGTATCCCACTAGTCAGTCTGCCAACTTGACAGTGACCCATTTATGCCTTCTCTTTTATGTCTGTTAGCCAATCCTTAAATCCACATGATGACATTCCTCTATAACAGATTCTAGCATTTTCCCTACTACTGATGTAAGGCTCACACATCTGTAATGCCCAGTTTTCTCCTACTCCATTCTTAAATAGTGGAATGATATTTGCCACCTTCTTATCTGCAGGAATCTTTCCAGAACAAAGAGCATAGAACAGTACTGCACGGGAACAGACCTTTTAGCCCACCAAGCCTACACAGACAACCAAGCTGAAATCTCTTGGCTCTATGCAGTCCGTATCCCTCTATTCTCTACCTATTCATGGATATGCCCATCTGTGTAAAAAAAAACATGCAATTGCATCTCCTTTAAACTTTTCCCCCTTTTAACTTAAACATATGTACCCTAGTAACTGACATTTCTACCCTGGGAAGGAAGACGGTAGTAATCTCTGGATTACTTCCAGTGCCATGTGGTAGTGAGGGTAAGAACAGAATGATATGGCAGATGAATGCATGGCTAAAGAATTGGTGCAGGGGTCAGGGATTCAGATTCTTGGATCATTGGGATCTTTTCTGGGACAGAGGTGACCTGTTCAAGAGGGACGGGTTGCACCTGAACTGGAGAGGGACTAATATCCTGGCAGGCAAATTTGCTAGCGTTACAAAGGAGAGTTTAAACTAAATTGGCTCAAGGGGTGGGATGCTCAACAGCTGGGAGGCAAGCGTGACGCTATAAATAGCAAGTTGAAGAGACAGGTCAAGATGGAACAGGACAGAGAGCGAGGGATGCCTATTGGATTAAATTGCATCTATTTCAATGCAAGTGGGCTGACAGGTAAGGCCAATGAACTCAGAGCATGATAGGTATATAGGAATGGGATATTATAGCCATTACAGAAACATGGCTAAAGGAGGGACAGGACTGCCAGCTTAATGTGCCAGGGTACAGGTGCTTCAGGTGGGAAAGAGGTGGAGGAAAGCGGGGAGGAGGAATTGCATTTTTGATTAAGTGAGTATCACAGCAGTAGTCAGAGATGAAATAACTGAGGGATCACCCAGTGAGGCTTTCTGGGTGGAGATAAATAGGAAGGGGATGATGATGTTACTGCGG